AGCTCTAGACTCCCAAGCCTCAGCCAAGCCCCGTGATCAGGATCCCTCCTGCCCTCTCTCGCTGCCAGCCGCCCGCCAGCTGCCACCTTGCAGGCCGCGGCCTCCGGGTTTTGAGACCCACCAGGAAGCTTGGCGGGCCGCTGCAGCCCTCCACCCTTCGCTCTACGCGTTCTTCTTTTCACGGCTTCTGCTGCCTTCCGCGTCCGGTCTTTCTGCCCCGCCTTCCAGACCGTCCCCCGCCGCTCCCGGTACTATTCAAATACAAACCTGGCGCGTCAGCCTAGAATTCAAGCGTTTTTCTTTGCCTGCCACTTGCACCCTTCTACTCCAACCACTGTGAAGGCCTGCAAACCTCTAGACAGCTTCCTTCTCCCCTTTCTGTCTTCTCTTCTCAACTCTCATCTCCTTGCTAACCAACATATATATATTTATTTCCTCTGGAAAGCTGTTTATGAAGGCTCAAACAGCACCAGAGGTATCCTGCTGCATGGACCCTGTATCCTATCAGGTCTTCTCTGAGACCTGACATTAGTGATTGAGCTGCTGTGAAGCTGTCAGTGTGAAAGGGGGAGTTATGCCACCCCTAAGCCCACCAAAATAAAAACTCAATTGAAAATGCAGCTGCTGCTTTGATAAACTGATGATGAAGTCCAATATCTATGCCGAGGTGTCCTGATTTGGAGATTCATTCAACTACAGCAGACTAGATGATTTCTGGATATAGTGAACAGTGGGTGTGGGAGGCCAGGAGGGAAGCTTTTTTGACTGTGGGCTTAGGATGGATGGTAGAAGTGTAGAGATGGAGATTTGAGCTGAGTCTTGAAGGGCTGAGCAAAGACCACTGCCCTTGTGTGGCACGTTAACAAATAGCCAGTGTTTCTGCTGTTGGGATGACACTTCAGAGTGTGGTGGTGGTTGAGGCAGAGATGATTCTAGGAAGGGGAATGACTCACCTTAGTGTCAGGGTATGTTGTTAGGCTGTGCTCAGGTTGGCATTCCTGGGCCATTTCTGCTCCTTCCTGCCCCTGAGCAGTTGCCTCTACTGCTGCCACCTCCTCTTCCCCCGCCTCCTTTCTGACAGATGATTTAACTACAGCTTAATATTGCTACTCAAGCACTCTACCCCTGAGCTATAAATCCCTAATCCCATATCTGGGAATTGATTTTGTTTGTTTTGTTTTTTTTCGAGACAGAGTTTCTCTGTGGCTTTGGAGGCTGTCCTGGAACTAGCTCTTGTAGACCAGGCTGGTCTTGAACTCATAGAGATCCGCCTGCCTCTGCCTCCCGAGTGCTGGAACTAAAGGTGTGCACCACCACCACCCAGCCTGATATCTGGGAATTGAACTTAGGACTCTGTGCATGTCAGGCAAGTGCTATGCCACTGAGATATCTCCAGTCCCCTTTCTGCCTATGGCATACACTCCTCCTTAGGTTATGTCCCTGAAGTCAGTGTCCACTTGATTTTAGAGAATGTGACTGATTGGCAGGCTGAGAGCCCACCTTAGGGGTGCTTTGACATTGTCTTCAGAGCTGGAACTCACTGGGTGGCTCACCATCCCTTCTTGCAGAATTATCCTTTGTACATCCGAAGCACTCCCACAGAGAATGAGCTCAAGTTCCACTACATGGTGCACACGTCCCTGGATGTGGTAGATGAGAAGATCTCTGCCATGGGAAAAGCACTGGTGGACCAGAGGGAGCTGTACCTGGGCCTACTCTACCCAACTGAGGACTACAAGGTGTATCCATCAGTGCTCAGCACTGTTCCTGCACTTGCAGAGTGGGATATGGGAGAAAACATAAGAAAAGAAAAATTGTAAGGGGTTTCAGCTGGTCAGGCAGGCAGGTGACCTGAAGCTAACAAAGGCCTCTAAACATTTCCCCCCTTTAATTAGAAGAATCACTGAAAAAGCAAGGCTGAGCTTCCAGGAGGGTGCAGATTGACACAGTAGGGATCTGGGCTTCTCTGTGCTCGTTAAAGGTCACCAACTTTGAATCAAGGGTAATTGTTTCATGATACTGTTGTTAGGCCCAGCCTCATGTGGCACTGTAAACTCTTGGCCATTTCTTTGGACAAATTGTTAAGACCACAGAATCCAAGAACATCCCCATGGGGACTAGTAGGCTATCCAAGAGGACATTGACTTTAACACTGATGTAAAAATTTGGTTTTGCAGCTAACATCCCAGGCCCTGTATCAGTTCAAAAGGAGTCTGAATTGTTCCTAGTTCCTGCATAGTTGCTGCATAGCCTCCCTAGCCTGGGCACTTCCTGATTCAAGTTTGTGAGGGTTCACAAAGTTATCCAGGCTTGCAGGCTCTTGATTGTGATATTGTGTATGCCATATGCAGTCATACAGCCCCTGTGCCAAAGCATGTTCCTTAACCAGCCGTGCAGATACGGCTATGTGACCAATTCCAAGGTGAAATTTGTCATGGTGGTGGATTCCTCCAATACAGCCCTTCGAGACAATGAGATCCGCAGTGTAAGTGCAGGGGGTTAAGGTTGGTGTCTGCTGCTTCCCTTTCCTCACTGAGAGTGCAAAAGTCTGCAACAGCCCTGTGCATGCACTCATTTAAACTGCTTTCTGCTCTTTCAGATGTTCCGGAAGCTGCATAACTCCTACACAGATGTGATGTGTAACCCCTTCTACAACCCGGGAGACCGCATCCAGTCAAGGTGGGCCCTGTGTGTTTGTATCTATGTGGGACCTGCTTTGTAATAGCATGGTCATTGGGAAAGTGAAGGAGCCATGAAACTGTTCTAAGGCCACTATTTCAAAGCAGCCAGCCTTGTTTTTCTAAATTAGTGCTGACACAGACCCTTAGTGTACACAGACAGATTGGTCCAAAGTTCACCCATCTGGTCTCCCAGATGTGTCTGTGGGTACCTGAGGTCCTCCAGAGAGCTCAGCAAGCTCACAGCTTATGCTGTGATCATAGCTTTTATGGAGGCAACACATTGTAGCCTGGTGTCCCTTTTGTGTTGGGCTTAGTGTCTCCCCTCCAGCTGGATAGACCTCATATAGGTGCTTCATCAGGAGGCATGTACTTCGTATGCATGCACTACGAACCTGCTTCCAGAGTCTTTTTCTGGGACTGTTCCTAAGGAGCTTCTTGCAATTGACAGGTGGCCCAAGCTAGACCTTTTCTGGTGGCACCTTCCTTTGGCTGAGATATCAAGAGTCTTGCATCTACCTAGATCCTAGGAGAGAGCACACTGGTGTCCCTAAACTTTCCAGGGCAAAATGAGCACTGCCTGCTCATGGGGTTCATTGCTTACCCCTGCCTGCACCCTCTGGGAGGTATGCTGAGGAAATCTATGACATAGTAGGCCTGTAGGGGCTGTGCAGGGATTGTGGAGTCAGGAGATGGCTGTCACTGCCCAGTGTGGTGGGTATGCCCTCTGCTTCCCTAAACCCTAGAGAAGTCCCAGAGTCCTGAGGACCTGGTGTGGTAGTGCCAGTCTCTACCAGCAGAGGTCAGGGTCATAGCCTGTTCCGCTCTAAATCTGGGTTCTTTTCTCAGGGCCTTTGAGAACATGGTAACTTCGATGATGATCCAGGTCTGCTGAGCTGGACCTCTCCCCTAGTCACCTGGAAGAGAGAAGCCTGTATTCACCCCTGTTTGATGATTATTTATTCTCTTTCCTCTCCTTGAATGTAAACCGTGGGCAGGGCTGTGTGCCCTGTGCCTTTCTACTAAAGCGCTCACACGATGAGATCTTTGTCCTGTGTCAGCAGAGAGGGCTCAGCTGAGGATCTGCTAGTTGGTCTCAGAGACTGTGGAGCCATGTAGGAGCTGTGACCATAGCCTGGTGATGTGACGGAGAACATTGAGTACAAGAGGCTGTGGGCCTTATTATCTGAGCAAGTGGGTGGTCCAGAAGGGTGCAGGGTATGGGGGGCCCAGAGACAGCTCCAGAGGGTGGAGGCAACCCAAGGTGAACAGCCACATTTCTTCTTTGGCAAGGGCCCTCAATGCTCTGGACCCACCATTCATTTGGCCCTGCACTTGCACCCAACCCCAGCCTCAGGAGGTGCTCAAATCTGTAACACTTCATGGAACATAGCATTAAAGCAGCTGCTGCTTCCCATGCAAAATGAGAAACCCCAGGAGCCTTTCCCATTGTCAGTAATCATGGAGGTCAACAGGCTCCTCAGTGCTGCTCCTAGGCCACACGTCCCCAAGGACAAACCAGGCTCTCCCCAGATAAAAGACTGTGGCTGTGTGGAGGTGGTGACTAAAGCTGGCCCTTTTGTGTCACTGGACAGTGTGGCTAAAATGTGGTGTCTTAGGAGATGGCAGAGGCCTAGAGGACCTGCCCCAGGTCTGAGTCCCCTTTAGATGTTGCTGCTCCATGCTGTCTTCAGAGTCTCTGACTTCCCCAAGTCATCAGCCAAGGACCTCCCCATTCACAGTAGAGTTTCTCCTGCCTGGGCCCAGCAGGCTGTGACTCGTCCACATGAGCTGGGTGGGGTAGAAGAAGAGACAGCCCAGTGAGCACAGGGTCATTGAAAAATGCAGTAAGGGGGGCTGGAGAGATGGCTCAGCGGTTAAGAGCACTGACTGTTCTTGCAGAGGTCCTGAGTTCAATTCCCAGCAACCACATGGTGGCTCATAACCACCTTGAATGAGATTTGGTGTTCTCTGCTGGTCGGCAGGCAGAAGACTGTAACATAATAAATAAATCAAATCTAAAAAAAGAAAGAAAGAAAGAAAGGAAAGAAAGAAAGAAAAATGCAGTATGCAGTAAGAAAAGAAGCCAGACTTTCTAACCAATCGATATAAGTGGCAGGTGAAGTTAGATTGAGAAGTTCACCAAGCAGCTAACTGAACCCAGATGTACTTGGGTTAAAGGGTTTAGCAGGAGGTTGGGTTTGACACGAGAAGAAAGGCACACCAGTGAGGTGGAATCTTGGGATCTTGAGTATTTAAGGGAGGTCACCTACCTATTAGCTGCACTGGGGTCTGCATCTTGTTCCCCAGTACTCCTCCCTCCCCTCCTTACAGACAAGCTGAGGTTTACTGGAGAAACTTGGCTAAATGCCATTTGTTTCTATCCTGTTCACACCAGGACAGGTGGATAAGGCATGTAAAAGGAGAGACCTACAGGACAAACCCTTTAAAAGTAGGCTCAGCTGATGTTTAGAGTACTCAAGACTTTCTGCTTTTTTCCTGCCTGGAACTTGAGTGTAACAGTGGGAGCTTAGGCATCTCTCTTGAGAGCATGAAGATGAGATAAGGACATGCAGATATGAGGACAGAGCAGAACGGAGCCTGAGTCTGGGCTGATGGGCTGGCCCTGGACTGTTCACATCAGCTTTTCATATGTGAAAATAAAATATAGCTCTCTCTGTTTAAGCTGCTGCTGTTTGGGTTTTCTGACAGGTATAGTCAGATGGTAAAGTGTGCTATTTGTGTGCACTATGTGCATGCACTAGGAAGTCTTCTCACTATCAAGCTCTGGCAAACAAAGCTTATAGTGTCATCTGCTTGCCTTGATGTGGCCTTCAGACTTGCAGGTGAGTTTCATCCTGAGGCTGGCCTTGGAGACCACAGTCAATACCTGCCTTTTATGAAGCAGGCTTTCCACCCTGGGGCCAAGATGACAGTTCTGATGAGTTGGTGACTTACTGCAGGTAGTCTGTGGGGCCATCAGCTGCTTGTCTTCCTTTTTGGTACCTTCTGGTACTGTCCTTTTGCAGACCTGGGGCCAGGGCAGCCTGGCCGCCCTACACTGGAAGAGGAAGCTGTGGACTGACACTGGCCATGCACATGGCAGGGGGCTACAGTGCTGGTGGGGTCCTCACCACTGTGTAGATTCCATGCTGAGGGTTGTTTGTACATCAGCATTCTGTCCTTGGCCCAGACATACTTGAGTCCATCAGAAAGGAAGATTCCCTGGGCTCCTCTGAAGAAGAGAACTTGCTATATATATAAGAGGACCAGGAGCCACCGAGCTGAGGTGATAGCAACATGTCAAGACCAAAGCCATCCCCTTGGTTGGAGATGCCTAAGATTCAGGGAAAGCAGGAGCAAATATCTTGCCAGGAGACCAGGGCCAGCGACTTGGCCATCCTGAGGCTGGAATGTGATGAGGAGCTGGCTTCATACTTGGAGAAGCCCTGCCAGGTCACTGATACTGATACTGAGTCCCCCAAGGCCACCCTAGCGCAGATTTGCTGCTCACCATTTGCCCCCTGGGTGGCATTCACCCCTGGCTGGTTAGGACAGAACCAGTCACTTCCAGAGGTGAATAAGGCTGCTCAGGCTCAAGGGGCTACCCTAAAGCTGCCACAAACAGACTTGGCCATTGACACAGTGGCTGGAGGTAGGGCTGCTTCCTGCAGACCCAGAGAGAATCTACTTCAGGCTTAGCCAGCTCCTGGAGTGGCAGCAACTCAGACCTTTGACTTTCAAGCCTCATTGCAAGGTCTCGTTTCAGGCATTGCCTTTCTTCTTTGCCTTCATATCTTTGTCTCATGCCTCACCTACTGTTGGGTTTGTGGTCCACTGGCAGTCTGGGATACTCTGATAGATATATAAATCAATCTATTTATCTTTTTTTTTTTTTTTTTTTTTTTTTTTTTTTTTTTTTTTTGAGATGGGGCCATTCTGTGTAGCTCTGGTTGTCCTGGAATTCACTCTGTAGACAAGGCTGTCCTTGAACTGAGATCTGCCTGTCTCTTTCTCCCAAGTGCTGGGATTAAAGGAGTGCACCACTATGCCTGGTTCTGGAGTTAATTCTTGTATGTCTTCAGAGACCCTTTTTCAAATAAGGTCACAGGCTGCTTTCCGACTTTGGAGGTGAAGATGTGGTCCCATTTTGGGGGGCATCATCCACTCCATTAAGGGCAAGGGGCATGTGAATGTGGCTTGGGAGATCAAGCATTGATGGCGTCTAGAGAAGGGCAGCAGCTGTCCCCAGAGCAGTCTGGTGCTGGGGGTGGTTTACTTAGCAGCTCTGCTGGGGCTTAAAGAATTAATGAAGTGAGCACAGGCAAGGAATGGTGGTGAGTGCACACAGTGTTTGCATTGGGCAAATCTCTTCCTGCTTAGTACAGTGGCAGCTCAGGGCAGCCTGTCTTTGCTACACACACACACACACACACACACACACACACACACACACACACAGTTTAGAACAAAGGCTCCACCTCTGCTTCCTGAACTGAACAGTTCAGACACCCTCCAGGGAGGATGGGGGTGAAGTCCAGGTATGTCTAGAGAGCCAACTTGGTTCATGGAGGCAGAATTCTGCTCACTGTCTATTGAATCATAAGGCAGAGCAAGAGGCCTGTTTTCTGGACTCATGGTCATATCATATTTACTACTCTCTCTGGAGCTCCATGAAAAAAGGTGCAGTGTAAATCTGTGTCCGAGGGAGGATCAAGAAATGAGACTTGTTACATGCTCTTAAAATAGTCAAGTTTAATAATTTATGCTTTACTATTAACACACATGTCTTATTTTTCTTTAAAAGTACTTGAGTATGCCAATCCCAGCTTCTCCTGGGCTCTCCCTTCCATTCCTACCCTCTGCATCTCCTTGCCCTGTGCCTTCCTATTGTGACCTGGGGGTCTAGGCCTTTTAAAAGCCCCTTGTGGGTTGCCAGACTTGAAGACCAGTTTGGAGTAGGTGGGCAGACTGCTGTTTACTCCCGACCCAGCTCCCGGGGCCACTTTAAAAACTGGGACATCTTTCAGTATGGTGAAAACCATGGTGAGAACCGTCCACGGCCCCTGCAGAGAGGGAGGGGGGACAAAGGCAGCTAAGTTGCCTTCAGAGGGGATAGGCCTCGAGGACACCTAGGTAAGTGTTTAAAAACCACCATCAAGCTGCTTGGGGACTGCGGGCGGCACCTCAGACTTCCTCCTCTCTTGAGGGGGTGCTTCCAGGGGAGGAGGAAGCCCGTGGGCTCAGCTCCAGCCTTACTTGTACTTCAGGCCAGAGGAGCCTGCTGTGATTCCCACCCTCCATGGCAGGGATGGCATGTCACCTGCAGAGGCCTAGTGACTAGGAAGGAGTATCCCCATCAGGTAGGGAGGTTTCACAGGGCCTGTCCAGGCTGTTAGAAACCATGAACCCTGACTGAACCCCTTCCCAAGTGCCCTGGCCAGTTAAGGCTCACGTGAGGGAAGAGCAGTACTCTCTTAGCATAATGCTGTACAGATTGGCTATAGGCTCCAGAAACCCTGTCACCACTCAGGTCTCCAGACTCAGACCCCACTTGGGCCCACTTACCGGCTCTGTCCATGGGGTCTGAACCGAGGTCTTCGATGAAGGCTACTGTGTAGGAAGGGCTGGGCCCTGCTGCCCAAGTGTGTCCTCAGCCCACCACGATCTGTGGAGCTGATTCCTGGGAAGTTCGTTCTTTTGGGAAGTACCTGGACAGAAGGAACCCATGCTATGGTCCAAGACACTGTTCTGTACCCTTCTTGCTGTGGTGGCCTGAAGCCAGAGTCCAGGCTGAGACCAAGGCTTGGGGTTCCTGACCTGGAGGTACCATCCACCTTCACTTGGATGCAGCTGTGATCACATGGCATGCCTGGTCATGGCCAGCAGCCTCCGGCAGAGGAATCTGATTCTTCTGCCCTAGCCACACCTACACCAAGCCTCACCCTAGGTCTGAGGGTTTCCATCATGCCCTAACTCTGACCAGTGCCAACCTAACTAAGATACCCAAAAGGTTAGGCTGGGTAGTTATGTGTCCTGGGGCAGGTACTCTTACCTCTCTGAGCCTGTTGAGGAATTTGTGAGTTAATGTGCAAGCAAGGCTCAGTGGTGGTTCACAGGGGCATGGAGACAGCTGGGGAAACATACCTTGATGACCCGACCTCGGAAAGTGCTCTCATCCAGCTCCACAGCAGCCTGGACAGAGTTCTGGGAAGCAAACTCTATATAAGCATACCTGGGGGAGAATAGAGATGGGGGATGATGGGGCAGGAAATGAGGGGTCAGTCCCATCCTCACTGCCCAGACTGCTATAGCCCCACACTGACCCTTTTGGGTGTCCAGAGAACTTGTCGCACAGGATGGTGACCCGGTGAATCTCCCCGCAGGGGCTGAAGTAGGCCCTCAGCTCAGCAGCCGAGCCTCCATAATCCACCTGCTCTCAGAAAGGGCACCTGCTTTAAGTGCTGGGCTCTCCCTATCTACCTCTTGCAGAGGGTTAGAGGGATCCAATCCCCAAGGTTGGTTGGCCCCTGACTTGGAATGGGCTGAGGCTTTATCCATTCCTTTCCTGGGTTGACTGCTGAGAGCCAGTCAAGGGCTTCCTATGTGGACAGCTGGTTGTGTCCCAAGCATTGGCTTATGCCATGTGTGTGGACCAGTAAATCTCATGCAACTCCCAGTTTTAGCACATGTTGAGAAACCAGAATTCTTGACCTCAGCTTCAGCTGAATGGTTAAGGACTGGCCACTATTTGCTTCCATGGGTTTTGCCCAAGAGCTACAGCCCACCCTTTCCTCTGCTGCAACTAGCATCAGACCTGCCCCTTCTTTCTGGCCTTGGAGACACTTGAGTTTACAACCCTATAGCTTCCTGCCTCAAGCTCCTAGCCAGCCCCATCCAGGATGTTGCTGTGTCTACCCAGCTGAATGTCCTAATTGGAGCCAGATGCCCCTGTCCTATCTGCTACTCACATTGCCCACATAGACAGATCTGTGGTCAGCCTCCACCTTTTCCTTGGGGGTCCCAGGGAAGAAGCAGCCTGTAGAGAGAGAACCTCAGGACCAGCAGGAGGAACTCATTGAGGAGCCCATTCCTCATGATCCCAGGGAAGGTCACCCCAGGCTTCCAAGGTTACATTTTGGGTTAGCAAGGCCTGATGCTGTGGGGTGATCCAGAATGCCCCCTCAATAGTCCTCACATAGAGTCCATGCTGAGTACTTCTCCACTGAGAGCACGTGGGGTTTAGAGTCTTAGCTGAGTGGTCAAGGACTTGGGAGGACAGTTGTCCACCATCTGGGGGGAGAAGCAGCAAAGGTCCCAGGTTCCTACCCATGATCTCAGGGCTCAGCAGCTGTCCGACCTCAGCCCCCTTTTCCTCGGTGGCCTTTCTTTGTACATAAGGTTGCTCCGGCAGGGTCTCAGCATGCTCCATGGCCCACAGCTTCAGTTTGATGGCCTCCAACTCCTGCTGGTCATCCCACAGTAAGCTTGGGAGAGGTGACCTGCAAGCCCCTCTAGGATGGAGGGCAGGTGTGGCCAGCCAGCCCCAGAAGAGTCATGGCTACTAAGGAATGACCTAGGTCACCCTGTGCTTCCTGTAGCTCAGTAATTAGGGGCTCAGTCCCCAGAAGCCCCTGACACCTCCATCCCAGGACACCTCCCCCAAGTCAGAGAGGGCCCTGTGG